CTTACATTTTGTGTTTTTTTTCTAATATGTGTAACCATCATTTCACAACAAGAAACTTGAAACATGTTTAAAATGGTAAATTTTTGTACAGAAATACCGATTTTGCCCCTCAAAACGAATGAAAAATTAGTCACGACTGAGATTGAGCTTAACTTTGGTTTTCTTTTTACTTAATAGATTTATTTTTAATAATTTAGTTTTTTAAGTTTCTTGTTATAAAAAGAAGACTATGTTGGCTCACGACGAATAAAGAAAAATCATCACAGCTGAGACAGGGCGGGTGGGCGGGGGTACATTTTGCCTTTTTTTCTTAATATGTGTAGACTTATTTCGACAACAAGAAACTTAAAACATGTCTAAAATGATAAATTTTTGTAGTAATCAAGTTAAATTCTTCACTTTTCATCTACAACCCCTTTAAATAAAGTTGAACATCAAAATTACTATCAACGGCAACTTGGCAACAGAGTTTATAAATGACAGTTTATAAATTCCACTCAACAACACAAATTATATTTATTTTTAATTTAAAGTCAAACTTGACAGTTGCTTCAGCTAAATGTGCCGACATTCAAAATGTCACAATAACTAAATTTGTTTTTAAGGAAAACATTAGTTTTCCAATGAAAATATGTAGAAAGATACAGGGGAATGTAAAAACATATAGGGCCATTTAGCAGGGTATAGATGGATATGGAAAGATATAGAAAGATATAGAGGGATGTAGAAAGATATAGACGGATATAGCAAAGTATAGACTGTTATGGAAGGATAATAGAAAGACATAAACTGATATAGAAAGATATAGAAGGGTACAGGCGGATGCAGAAAAATATAAGCCGATATAGCAGGGTATAGACAGATATGGAAGGATATAGAAAGATTTAGAGGGATATAAAAAGGGTACAGACGGATATGGACGGATATAGATGGGTATAAAAGATACAGAAGGAAATAAAAAGATATAGACGGATATGGAAGGACATAGTCCATATAGAAGGCTACAGACAAATATAAACGGATATGGCAAGGTATAGACTATTATGGAAGGATATAGAAAGACATAAACTGATATAAAATGATATAAAAGAATATAGAAGGGTATAAACAGATGTAGAGAGATGTAAAAGGAAATAGAAGGATATAGAAGGGTATATACGGATTTGGCAGGATATAGAAGGATATAGAGAGATATAGAAATATATAGACGAATATGGACAGAATAAAAAAAGTACATATGGACAGATATAGATGGGTATAAAAGATACAGAAGAAAATAGAGGGTCATACAGGGTGTTATTGAAAGTTATGTACGACAAAATTGATAGTTATTCGCCAACTCCAAGAAGTCTGAAAAACTTATTTTGTGTTATCAAAATTATAAGGGGAAAATTAACCCTTATCCAACCTTTTTAAACGCTAGTGAAAGATAAATAGGTAAAATTAATTTATTTTAATAAATCCTAGCAACTGTAACAACAAAACTTTTGTCAAGACTAAATGTCGCTATAGAAACGAAATGATCTTTTTATCAGAGGCGTACAACGAATTTGGACATAAATTTTAATAATTTTTATCTCTAAAAGGAGAACACTTTTACCCCAACTTTTTTTTACTTTTAGCACCCATACTTCGACACCAATTGCTGATTTTATTTTGTACGTACCTTTCAATAACACGCTGTAGAAGGATATAGACGGATATGGAAGGATATAGTCGGATATAGAAGGCTATGGACAGATATAGACGGATATAGAAAGGTCTAGACTGTTATGGAGGGATATAGAAAGACATAAACTGATATAGAAAAATATAAAAGAATATAGAAGGGTATAGACGGATGTAGAAGGATATAGAAATGTACATAAGAGTATAGATACAATGTAAAAAAAAATCTGAGTTTGGTTGAGAATATTGTCGTCAATTTTGCTTGGATTATATTTTAGGGTTTTTGTTTATAACCACACTGGAGTTAATCAAAACTGTGATATTATTTATGACAAATTTAAACAAAAACGAGACATTTAAAAATTAATAGGTGAATTATTGTGTTTTTATCTAATCAAATCAGGTAATTTTGGTAAAGGATTTGTGTAAAGTCAAGTGAAGTCACAGATAAAACATATCGACAAAGTGGATTCGAAACAATAGCCTACACTTGACTTGTCAAAATTTTGACGGTTTAGCTACATGTCCAGTCCCGGTGTAGTTAGGTTGGCAATGCGGTTCAAAATCTTGCACACCCAACATCATTGATAATTTTAACAACCCATTTAATAATTTAAATTGTACTGTTGGTAGCACTACATTGACCATTTGGCTTCTTGATCTCACAAATATCACCAGAAACCATATTTACACATTACAATTTTATCAGCAACATTGACGCTTACACTATGGAAATCTTTGAAGGTCGATTGCAAGATGAACATGTGGAACTCGAGTCGACAATAAAATCTACGAGTCTCTTGAAAATTTTGACTCGAATGACGTTTCTGTGTCTCTAAGTTTTGTCTGCCGTGTTATTTTCTAATGTCAATTGGAAACCGAAAAAGTAAGGTTAGAATTCATTGTTACAGCGTCACCATAATCTATGAAATAATTTGTTTGGAATGAAAATAAAGAAAACGAAAAAAGAGAATGAGAGGAAAAGGCAATCATTCATTAATTCAGTTAATCAGTTTCCTTAGTGGATAAGGAAATGTAATGTCATGACCTTTTGTGTTTATGTATTTCCTTAAGTTAACGATATAACATGTAAATGTGTAACTGTCCTTCCTACTTCACATTTTCTGTCATTCATTTTCAGTGTCATAAATTATATAACTATCGTTCTGTTTATTTTCAGAAAACAATACAAAAGTACCAAATTATTTTTCATGTTTTCTTGACGTTTCATGATCCCTGGAGTACGAAGAAATATATCTCCTGTTTCCGTCTATCTGTCGTCTATCGGTCGTCTGTGTCGATTTTTATTAGAAAGATAATCTCCGAAACTACTGGAGCGATTGTCAACAAATTTTACATGTATATTAGATATATCGTGTAGTTGGTAAAACGCTAACCAAACTTTATACGATCATTCTGATAACATCGGCTCATTATTTCACCTTACAGATGAGAGAATTAAATTTTATAACTTTGTGGAAAAACTACAATTGTTCAACTGTAGTTTAAGGGCAAGGGAAGTTCTGTCTAAATAACCTCAGCTTTGTTATATATCGAAAGTAAAATATAAAACTGAAGCAAATGTTTCTGATTTTTTTTTGTCGGGTTGGCAACATATTTATAATTTTATGATGGCATACCTGATGTAAAATTGAAATTTTGGGCGCCAATTCAGTAGCTGCCATTTTCCATTGCGTTTTAGACATGCTCATGTCAAAACTGATAATTGTGAGCCTACATACTAAGATTGCCGCCAACTATTCAGAATTGCTAACCTAAAAATTTGCTTCTATTTTGACAAGTTTGACAAGAATGTAATTTAGCGAAATCATTTTAATTTCAATAATGCCTGTATTTATTGGGTCTATTCGTTGCTTAAATGCTTCTTTTGGACTTTTTGGTGTGAAAAGGAAATCTAAAAGTAATACGAAAATGACTTATTAAAGTTTCAAAATTTAAACTTTAAATCTGAAATTAATTAATTAACCGTACATCAGTTTTATTGTTATTAAAAATGTGTCAAGGCTTGTTAACTTTTGGTTCTGCTCATAATATACCATATGATCGAAAAAAGTCCTCCAATAGAACATGGAATTTAGTTTGAAAATAATTATTTTAGTATTACCATTGTTTGACATCTGAATTGACAGTTATTTGACTGAACTGTCAAACTGAACAAGGAACGTGGTGTTGCCAACATATTTTTTTAACATTAAATTTTGAAGCTTGCGGGAAGACAAAACACCCCAAAATTGTTGGTGCATTTGACATTTTAAAGGCATTAGTGATGTTATCTAATTGTCAGATCTTATTTACAAATACGAAGATAAATCAATTAACAACTATATTTTATAAAATTATGAAAAAACTTGTTCAAACAGATTTCAGCGATGTACGTTTCTATTGTATGTGTATTACAACGAACTTCCGGCAGTAAATCGTTGTCTAATTCTGCACTATTGTGCGTTGTTGTTTATTTAAATTTTGTACGAACAATGAGATTTTATGCACATTTATTTGTTAGTAGAGTAAGTGCGAAAAGTGAAAAAATTAATTAACAATTTTTTTGTAACTCTGAATTATATGTATAAATTTTGTTCATTAAGGTTATATTGATAGTGGCAACAATGTAATGATAATTATTTGGACAAAAATTTAATTGATTTCTGGGTTATAAAGACAATTTCTGTAGAAATTTAAAAAATGTTAAGTGAATAAATTAAAAATAACCTCAAAAATATTTTTATCTAAATAATTCGATTTCTTTATCGACAAAATAAATTATCTTAAAAATAAAAGTAGGTACGATTAAGTGGAGTATTTTTTTCAATTCGTAAACGATTAAATCTTTTCCAATTAACACGTAACTATGTAGATTAACCCTACTTAGAATTTAAAACAGTTTAAAAAACGGAGATTCAATTAAGTCCCTGCTACAAAAGTTGTTAAACCTGTAAAATATACAGGGGTTCCATTTAAAAGATGCAACTTTTGTTACATAACCTTAAACGAAAAAGTTGCATATTTAAAAAAAGTTATACTGTATGCAGTATTTTCTTCTACTCCGGAACTAGCGCAACGCAGTCGATAATCAGCGAAATATCAAAGTTAGCATGCAAGTTGGTTTTAAAAACACTTATACTTAAAAAAATTCTCTAGATTCAACGACTTTTTAGAGTTTTAAATGTCGTGTCACGAATAGTTGTGATATCGTTATAGCGTCACACAAAAATCGCGTCCCACTTTAAATTGTTCTAAATTCTTAAAACACACCAACGGCAGTGAAAAAATTGCATTTTCATACTCCATGAACTGTGAAATTTTTTTATTAGGTACCACCACCATCATGCTCATCCTCTACCCCATCTTCTTCATCCTCCCCGCCATGGCCTCCGCCCGCGCCGACTGCTCCAAAGAAGCCTACGGGGAATGCATCCAAATAGCTGACCCATTGGTCAAACAACCCCACCTCATCTTCCCAGACAACATGGACGACATCGACCTCGTCTGTCGAACATGGAACAAATTCGTCGACTGCTTGAAGTACTATACCGACAACTGCTTCACCGAACAGCAGCGACGCCAGTTCAACAAGGCCGTAGAAAACCCCATCGAGAGCGTCCACCAGATGTGCATGCAACCCAGTTACCAAAAGGAGTACCTCCAGTACGCCCCGTGCATCAAAAGCACGATCACGGAACCCATACACTGCGGATCTCACTATAACCTCCTGGTGGACCAGGTACAACAAGGGGAAATTATTTCCAAGTCGACGTTGTGTTGGTACGACTCAGGTATCGATTTGGTGTGAAAGTTGCTAACGTTGTGGGTTTTAGCTCGCATGATAGGTTCAAACAGTGCGTGCTGAAGGAAACGAGAAGGTTGTGTGATCGGGGGGTTCCGGATGGACCGGCGTTGAGGTTTGCGAGCCATTTGATCGACAAGGCGTTGAAGTTCTTGCAGGATCAGTGCTACAACTATATGTAAGTTAATGTTACTAAAATTGGTGGAGGCGCCGGGACAATTATATATTTTTTTTTCTTTGTGTTTGTTTCAGCCCCAATTCTGGGGACTGCACAAGCTTGACGACCGAATCTCAGGCCTTCTCCGACCCTTTAACTATTTCAACCTCATCGAGTGAAGTTTACCCGTGGAGTACCATTCAACAAGATATGGCTCCAAAAGAAATCTTACCATCAAGGGTAACACCACCCAGAATGCCTACGACATCGTCATGGTTGCCATCGTCGACTCTATCTGTACAAAATTCGGTAATATTTTATAATTTTTCTTAACAGAAACTACTATAAAATCGTTTTTAGGAAACTTCCCCCACCCAAATGTTGGGTTCCAGGACCCGCCCGGCCTCCTTTGGTCGTGCCAGCACTTGGTCTGAGACCCCCAGTTCACCCATCGCTGGTAACACGGTCCAAATGTATCCAGAAATGTCAACCACCCCATCCACGCGTCCCAGTTGGGCCACTATGTCCAGCTGGACCCCGCAACGTCACACCGAAGCCGACAAAAGTACCACCTGGTACCCAGCTGCCGGTTCCCAGTTGAGTAACGAAGTTGAAGAACCCAACCAGCAAGGTCTCACCAAACCTAGGAACGAAGGCATCAGAATCGGACACGTTTTGGGGTTGACCGTAATGGCCGTCATTATGACTTCTCTGTGTTAGATACACATAATTCTGATAATATTTAAGAAGAGCAATAATTTATTTTAATCAGCACTAGTCAGATTACCAAATAGTCAATGTAATTTTTAATAAATTAATTCTTATTTTCTGAAACGAGTGTGTTAATGGTGGGTGGAAGTGTCCCAAGGTCAGTGTTGGAGAAACGCTTTTGCTATTTACACAACTGGATGGCCTACTCTAAATCGAAAACTTTTCGATCGTACTTCTGATTGTCACGCAACTTATTTAGGGATTTTACGAAAGTTACTAAATTTGACATTTGTAACCACAGGACAGGAAATGTTTAAAGGTCGATTTATTAACTTGTCGCTGACGTTGCTGTTCGCCGTTGACGTTGCCGTTAACGTAGTATATTCAACCAGTCAAATTGCGCTAGTGTGCAGTGCTGCCAACTTGAAGGAAAATCGTCTGAAGTAGGGGAGACATTTTTCTGGTTGACTGCAAAATACTTATTTCTTAACAAGAAATTTAAAACATGTTTTTGAGCATCGTGATTTTTAAAGAATACTATGTATATTAAGAAAAAGAGACAAAATATAAAAACTCCTACCCACCCGCCCCATCACAATTGTGATGATTGTTTCTATTCTTAGAAACTTAAAATGCGTAAAAATGGTATATTTTTGTAAGGAAATATGGATTTTGCAATTAGGCTCCTCCTCTAGGTCTGCCAACGAATGAAAACTTCTTTACTATTTAGATCAGGACCGATAGGGGTGGGGCTTAATCTTTGGCTTCAATTTTTTAATATGCATATTTATATTACATAGTATTCTTTGAATAACATGATACTCAAAAATATGTCTCATATACATGGTAATTTCTTGTAGATAAATAATAAGGATTTTGCATTTAAATTTCGCTCAATTGGCTCTCGACAATTAAAAAAAATCATCACAATTGAGATAGGGCGGGTGGGCGGGGCTTCATTTTGCCTTTTTTTTCTTAATATGTGTAGACTTATTTCGAAAACACGAAATTTAAAATGTGTCTAAAACGGTAAATTTGTATAGGGAAATAGCGATTTTGCAATTACGCTCCGCCCCTCGATTTGCCAACGAATGAAAAATTCAACACGATTGAGATCGAGACGGATGGGTGGGGCTACTCTTCTGGTTTTCTTTTTTAATCAATACATTCTAAGTTTTCTTTGTATAGCACGAGAACTTAAGAACATATTTCAGATGGTAATTTCTCCTACAAAAATAAGGATTTTACAATTAGACTCCACCCCTCGACTTACGACGAATAAAAAAAATCATCAGAATTGAGATAGGGCGGGTGGGTGGGGCTTATACTTTGTCTTTTTTTTTCTTAATATACATAGCCATCTTTTCACAACAAGAAACTTAAAACATGCTTAAAATAGTACATTTTTGCAAGGAAATATGGAGTTTGCAATTATAAGGGGGAGCCTAATTGCAAAATTGATATTTCCTTATACAAATTTTTCATTTTAAACATGATTTAAGTTTCATGTTGTGAAAAGAAGTCTACACATATTAAAACAAGAAGGCAAAATTTAGGCCCGCCCACCCGCCCTATCTCAATTGTGATGATTTTTTTACTGGTCATGAACCAAAGGGGCGGAGCTTAACTGCAAAATACTTATTTCTTTACTGAAATTTAAAACATGTTTTTGAGAATCGTGATTTTTAAAGAATACTATGTATATTAAGAAAAAGAGACAAAATATAAACACCTACCCACCCGCCCCATCACAATTGTGATGATTGTTTCTATTCTTAGAAACTTAAAATGCGTAAAAATGGTATATTTTTGTAAGGAAATATGGATTTTGCAATTAGGCTCCTCCTCTAGGTCTGCCAACGAATGAAAACTTCATTACTATTTAAATCAGGACCGATGGGGTGGGGCTTAATCTTTGGCTTCAATTTTTTAATATGTATTTTTATATTACATAGTATTCTTTGAATAACATGATACTCAAAAATATGTCTCATATACATGGTAATTTCTTATAGATAAATAATAAGGATTTTGCATTTAAATTTCGCTCAATTGGCTCTCGACAATTAAAAAAAATCATCACAATTGAGATAGGGCGGGTGGGCGGGGCTTCATTTTGCCTTTTTTTTCTTAATATGTGCAGACTTATTTCGAAAACACGAAATTTAAAATAGGTCTAAAATGGTAAATTTGTATAGGAAAATATCGATTTTGTAATTACGCTCCGCCCGTCGGTCTGACAACGAATGAAAAATTCAACACGATTGAGATCGAGACGGTTGGGTGGGGCTTCTCTTTTGTTTTTTTTTTTTTTTAATTAATACATTAAATTTTCTTTGTATAGCATGAGTACTTAAGAACATATTTCACATGGTAATTTCTCGTACAAAAATAAGGATTTTACAATTAGGCTCCACCCCTCGACTTACGACGAATAAAAAAAAATCATCAGAATTGAGATAGGGTGGGTGGGTCTTTTCACAACAAGAAACTTAAAACATGATTAAAATGGTACATTTTTGCAAGGAAATATGGATTTTGGATATATGGGGCAGAACCTAATTGCAAAATCGATATTTTCTTACACAAATGTTCCATTTTAAACATGTTTTAAGTTTCTTGATGGGAAAAGAAGTCTACACATATTAAAACTAGAAGGCAAAATTCAGGCCCGCCCACCCGCCCTATCTCAATTGTGATGATTTTTTTACTGGTCATGAACCAAAGGGGCGGAGCTTAACTGCAAAATACTTATTTCTTTACTGAAATTTAAAACATGTTTTTGAGAATCGTGATTTTTAAAGAATACTATGTATATTAAGAAAAAGAGACAAAATATAAACCCCTACCCACCCGCCCCATCACAATTGTGATCATTGTTTCTATTCTTAGCAACTTAAAATGCGTAAAAATGGTATATTGTTGTAAGGAAATATGGATTTTGCAATTAGGCTCCTCCTCTAGGTCTGCCAACGAATGAAAACTTCATTACTATTTAGATCAGGATCGATAGGGGTGGGGCTTAATCTTTAGCTTCAATTTTTTAATATGTATATTTATATTACACAGTATTCTTTGAATAACATGATACTCAAAAATATGTCTCATGTACATGGTAATTTCTTGTAGATAAATAATAAGGATTTTGCATTTAAATTTCGCTCAATTGGCTCTCGACAATTAAAAAAAATCATCACAATTGAGATAGGGCGGGTGTAGACTTATTTCGAAAACACGAAATTTAAAATATGTCTAAAATCACAATTGAGGGATGGGTGGGCGGGGTTTATATTTTGCCTTTTTTTTGTTAATATACATAGTATTTTTTCAACAACAGGATACTCAAAAACATGTTTTTAATTTCTTGTAAAGAAATAAGTATTTTGCAGTAAACCTCCGCCCCCTTGGTTCACAGCCAATAGGAAAAAATCATCACAATTGAGATAGGGCGGGTGGCCGGGGCTTCATTTTGCCTTTTTTTTTCTTAATATGTGTAGACTTTTTTCGAAAACACGAAATTTAAAATATGTCTAAAATGGTAAATTTGTATATGGAAATATCGATTTTGCAATTACGCTCCGCCCCTCGATCTGACAACGAATGAAAAATTCAACACGATCGAGATCGAGACGGATGGGTGGGGCTACTCTTCCGGTGTTCTTTTTTAATTACTACATTCTAAGTTTTCTTTGTATAGCACGAGAACTTAAGAACATATTTCAGATGCTAATTTCTCCTACAAAAATAAGGATTTTACAATTAGGGTCCACCCCCCGACTTACGACGAATAAAAAAAATCATCAAAAATGAGATAGGGTGGGTGGGTGGGGCTTATACTTTGTCTTTTTTTCCTTAATATACATAGCCATCTTTTCACAACAAGAAACTTAAAACATGATTAAAATAGTGCATTTTTGCAAGGAAATATGGATTTTGCAATTATGAGGGGGAGCCTAATTGCAAAATGGATATTTCCTTATACAAATTTTCCATTTTAAATATGATTTAAGTTTCATGCTGTGAAAAGAAGTCTACACATATTAAAACAAGAAGGCAAAATTTAGGCCCGCCCACCCGCCCTATCTCAATTGTGATGATTTTTTCCTATTGGCTGTGAACCAAGGGGGCGGAGCTTTACTGCAAAATACTAATTCTCTACAAGAAATTAAAAACATGTTTTTGAGTATCGTTTTGTTGAAAAAATACTATGTATATTAACAAAAAAAGGCAAAATATAAACACCGCCCGCCCACCCCATCTCAATTGTGATGATTTTTTTATTCTTAGCAACTTAAAATACGTTTGAAATGGTAAATTTTTGAAGCGAAATATGGATTTTGCAATTAGGCTCCGCCCCTAGCTATGGCAACGAATGAAAACTTTATTACTATTTAGATCAGGGCAGATATGGGTGGGGCCTAATCTTTGGTTCTTTGGTTTTAATTTTTTTTTAATATATATATAGCATTCTTTGAATAACACAATACTCAAGAACGGATCTTACATGCTAATTTCTTGTATAGAAATAAAAAGGATTTTGCAATTAAATTTGACTCCTTTGGCTCACGACAAATAAAAAAAAAATGATCACAATTGAGATAGGGCGGGTGGGCGGGGCTTATATTTTGTCTTTTTTCTTAATATACGTAGTCGTCTTTTCAGAACAAGAAACTTAAAACATGTTTAATATGGTACATTTTTGCAAAGAAATATTAATTTTGGATATATGGGGCTGAGCCTAATTGCAAAATCGATATTTCCTTACACAAATTTTCCATTTTAAACATGCTTTAAGTTTCATGTTGTGAAAAGAAGTCTGCACATATTAAAACAAGAAGGCAAAATTTAGGCCCGCCCACCCGCCCTATCTCAATTGTGATGATTTTTTTACTGATCATGAACCAAAGAAGCGGAGCTTAACTGCAAAATACTTATTTCTTTACTGAAATTTAAAACATGTTTTTGAGAATCGTGATTTTTAAAGAATACTAAGTATATTAAGAAAAAGAGACAAAATATAAACCCCTACCCACCCGCCCCATCACAATTGTGATGATTGTTTCTATTCTTAGAAACTTAAAATGCGTAAAAATGGTATATTTTTGTGAGGAAATATGGATTTTGCAATTAGGCTCCTCCTCTAGGTCTGCCAACGAATGAAAACTTTATTACTATTTAGATCAGGACCGATAGGGGTGGGGCTTAATCTTCGGCTTTAATTTTTTAATATGTATATTTATATTACATTGTATTCTTTGAATAACATGATACTCAAAAACATGTCTAACATGGTAATTTTATTGTAGATAAATAATAAGGATTTTGCAATTGAATTTCGCTCATTCGGCTCTCGACAATTAAAAAAAAATCATCACAATTGAGATAGGGCGGGTGGGAGGGGCTTCATTTTGCCTTTTTTTTTCTTAATATGTGTAGACTTATTTCGAAAACACGAAATTTAAAATATGTCTAAAATGATAAATTCGCATAGAGAAATATCGATTTTGCAATTACGCTCCGCCCCTCGATCTGCCAACGAATGAAAAATTCAACACGATTGAATATTGTATAGCACGAGAATTTAAGAACATATTTCAGGTGCTAATTTCTCCTACAAAAATAAGGATTTTACAATTAGACTCCACCCCTCGACTTACGACGAATAAAAAAAATCATCAGAATTGAGATAGGGTGGGTGGGTGGGGCTTATATTTTGTCTTTTTTTTCTTAATACATATATATAGCCATCTTTTCACAACAAGAAACTTAAGACATGATTAAAATGGTACATTTTTGCAAGGAAATATGGATTTTGGATATATGGGGCAGAACCTAATTGCAAAATCGATATTTTCTTACACAAATGTTCCATTTTAAACATGTTTTAAGTTTCTTGATGGGAAAAGAAGTCTACACATATTAAAACTAGAAGGCAAAATTCATTCCCGCCCCCCCACCCTATCTCAATTGTGATGATTTTTTTTCCTGCTCATGAACCAAAGGGGCGGAGCTTAACTGCAAAATAATTATTTCTTTACTGAAACTTAAAACATGTTTTTGAGAATCGTGATTTTTAAAGAATACTATGTATATTAAGAAAAAGAGACAAAATATAAACCCCTACCCACCCGCCCCATCACAATTGTGATGATTGCTCCTATTCTTAGAAACTTAAAATGCGTAAAAATGGTATATTTTTGTAAGGAAATAAGGATTTTGCAATTAGGCTCCTCCTCTAGGTCTGCCAACGAATGAAAACTTCATTACTATTTAGATCAGGACCGATAAGGGTGGGGCTTAATCTTTGGCTTCAATTTTTTAATATGCATATTTATATTACATAGTATTCTTTGAATAACATGATACTCAAAAATATGTCTCATGTACATGGTAATTTCTTGTAGATAAATAATAAGGATTTTGCACTTAAATTTCGCTCAATTGGCTCTCGACAATTAAAAAAAATCATCACAATTGAGATAGGACGGGTGGGTGGGGCTTCATTTTGGCTTTTTTTTTTTTCTTAATATGTGTAGACTTATTTCTAAAACACGAAATTTAAAATATGTCTAAAATGGTAAATTTGTTTAGGGAAATATCGATTTTGCAATTAGGCTCCGCCCCTCGATCTGCCAACGAATGAAAAATTCGACACGATTGAGATCGAGACGGATGGGTGGGGCTACTCTTCTGGCTTTCTTTTTTAATTAATACATTCTAAGTTTTCTTTGTATAGCACGAGAACTTAAGAACATATTTCAGATGCTAATTTCTCCTACAAAAATAAGGATTTTACAATTAGGCTCCACCCCTCGATTTACGACGAATAAAAAAAATCATCAGAATTGAGATAGGGTGGGTGGGTGGGGCTTATACTTTGTCTTTTTTTTTCTTAATATACATAGCCATTTTTTCACAACAAGAAACTTAAAATATGCTTAAAATAGTACATTTTTGCAAGGAAATATGGATTTTGTAATTATGAGGGGAAGCCTAATTGCAAAATTGATATTTCCTTATACAAATTTTCCATTTTAAACATGATTTAAGTTTCATGTTGTGAAAAAAAGTCTACACATATTGAAACAAGGAGGCAAAATTTAGGCCCGCCCACCCGCCCTATCTCAATTGTGATGATTTTTTCCTATTGACTGTGAACCAAAGGGGCGGAGCTTTACTGCAAAATACTTGTATCGTGTTGTTGAAAAAATACTATGTATATTAACAAAAAAAGGCAAAATATAAACACCGCCCTCCCACCCCATCTCAATTGTGATGATTTTTTTATTCTTAGCAACTTAAAACACGTTTGAAATGGTAAATTTTTGTAGCGAAATATGGATTTTGCAATTAGGCTCCGCCCCTAGCTATGAGAACGAATGAAAACTTTATTACTATTTAGATCAGGTCAGATATGGGTGGGGCTTAATCTTTGGTTCTTTGGCTTTAATTTTTTCTTAATATATATATAGTATTCTTTGAATAACACGATACTCAAGAACGGATCTTACATGGTAATTTCTTGTATACAAATAATAAGGATTTTGCATTTAAATTTCGCTCAATTGGCTCCCGGCAATAAAAAAAAATCATCACAATTGAGATAGGGCGGGTGGGCGGGGCTTATATTTTGTCTTTTTTCTTAATATACGTAGTCGTCTTTTCAGAACAAGAAACTTAAAACATGTTTAATATGGTAAATTCTTGGAGACAAATATGGATCTTGCAATTAAGCCCCACCCCACGAACTGACGACGAATAAAAATTGATCACAATTGTGAATTGAGATCGAGGCGGGTACAGGTGGGGCCTAATCTTTGGCTTTATTCTTTTCTTAACATACATAGTATTCTTTGAAAAATACGGTCCTCAAAAACATATTTTTAATTTCTTGTAGAGAAATAAGGATTTTGCAGTTAAGCTCACAATTGAGATAGGGTGGGTGGGCGGGGCTACATTTTTCCTTTTTTTCTTAATATGTGTAGACTTATTTAAATAACACGATACTTAAAATTTGTCTAAAATGATTCTACAACCTTTTCAAATACGGGAAAAGTTGAACATCAAAGTTACTATTTTAAAAATTAGATAAGAAAGGACGTTACAGAAGTAAATACTTCACAACTTGCACTCTAGTTTTCCTGTGGCAGATAATTCCACATTCTTGGTATAATTTACAGTGGCGTATAATGCGTTGCATAACTCGCCATCACTTGTCAATTTTTGAGGTTATGTTTGGAACTGAACTGGAATTACTAAATATTTCACCCGTTTAAGAATTTTCCATAGATAAGTAGGTAAGAAAAACCCACAATTATTTTCGTTTGTCAATCTAGTACACTTCAGGCAACCAAATGTCAAACTTGGAATATGAGTGTTCCTCGAAAAATGCACACACTTGCGAAACCTGCCCCTACTCCACCACATCCTTTATTCTTTTGGAAAACCACCTCGGGCAACACCGTTCACGAATAAAACTTTTCAACTGTGAGAACACCCACATTGAAAGTTACTTCTGTAAGAACTGTGACTTCCAAACAGAACTGACCCTTCTTTTAAAAAAACACATAGATCAAAATCATAGCTGTAAAAACGAGAACACACAAGACTGCAGCATCCGAAGCTATGTTTGTAAAGGGTGCAACTTTGAAACAAATTTCTCAATGAAGTACTTTCAGCATATGTCAATTTGTACAAAAGATGGTGAAAATCCTCAAATGTATTCAGTTAAGGAGAGTGGAAAAAATGTCGCTAAATATAGTTGTGATCAATGCGAGTGCGCCTACAAACACAAAAAATCGCTAAGGAGACACAAAATGTTCAAACACTTGAATAACGACGAAATACAGTGGCATTTTTGTCCAAATTGCACCTACAAAGATAAGCAAAAAAGTAATTTAAAAAAGCATATAAATGCAAGGCATTTGGAAGAACAGTTTGTGGAGTGGTACGAATGCACTAAGTGCCCCTACAAATCCAAACACCCATCAAATTTAAGAAGCCACATAATTTTCTGGCACATGGAAGAACAGAACAATAAATGGTACGAATGCAATCAATGTCCATACAAAGCTAGATTCAGCGCCCATTTAAAACGTCACATAATAGCCCACCATTTAGATGAACAAGACATCAAGTGGTACGAATGCGAAAAGTGCCCCTACAAAGCCAAAACCAACGTCAACTTAAAAAAACACATCATCGCCCGACATTTAGACGAGCAAGACATTAAATGGTACGAATGTGAAAAGTGCCCCTACCGAACCAAAGAAAAAGGACACTTACGACGTCACATAAACGCGCGGCATTTAGACGAGCGAGATGTTAAGTGGTACGAGTGCGAGCAGTGTCCGTATAAAACTAAACACACGTCGAATTTAAAAACCCACATAAAAACGCACCATTTACAGGACATTGAGTGGTATAAATGCGACAAATGCTCCTATAAATCTAAACAAAAAGTCAATTTGAAAGATCACGTAAATGCGCGCCATTTGGATGAAAAGGAGGTGGAATGGAAGAGGTGTAGTAAGTGTCCATTTAAAACTAAATTTACGTCGTCGTTGAAAAATCACGTGAATGTGCGACATTTGGTTGGGGACGATATTAAATGGTATGAGTGCAAAAAGTGTTCGTTTAAGACTAAGTCGAGAACGTATTTAAATAGACATATAAAGAAACACCAATGATGTTCGTATTTGTCCTAAAATTTAAAGACTGGAAAATTTAAGTTCAATGATTTTTATCAATAAGTTTTTAACGGCTGAAAAATACAGTTTTTCTACAGAATTGGTTTTTATTTTAAATCAGTAAATGGTTTTTGTTAATTTCTACTGGCCACGTTGGCCATCCAATGCATTTTTACACGTTTTTAAGTGAGAATCAATTTGGTGTATAATTGGTTGCATACACAAAATGAAGTGGTCTCTCGTTTTGAGGTTATGTCGCCTAGATTTAAAGTTTAACAAGTTTTTGGGGAGCATTTTTGAGTTTAAGTAAGTAAAATCCGAATATTGTTAACATAACTTGAAGCATTATTACTACTCTAGACAAACTAAGTGTTTAATCTGGATGTCTGGTAATTCAGCTATCGCACCACTTTAATGTTCACACACGTCAGAAGAGATCAGTTTCCAGCAACCCCTTTCAACTGTGAAAATGCCAAAATCGAAACCTATCACTGCAAGGACTGCAATTTCCAAACAGATCTTACGCTTCTTTTCAAACAACACATTGAAAATCATTTGACAGAAAACCAAAATCCAGGATATAAGATTCAAAACTACAGTTGTGAAAAGTGTGGCTTTAGAACTCATTTCCTGATGAAATGGTGTCAGCACATTGAAATATGTTTAGCTAAAGCAAAAAGTCCTCGAGTAATGAGTTGCAGCAAAAATTTCAAAAATCAAGTCATCAAGTGGCACCATTGTGATCATTGCCCGTTCAAATCCAAACACAAGCATTCATTAGGGATACACAAAATTTCAAAGCAATTGAAAGACGACGAAATATCGTGGTACAAGTGTGACAAGTGTCCATATAAATCAAAACAGAGCTCCAACTTAAAAAAGCACACGAATGCCCAGCATTTGGATGAAATTAAGTGGCATGAATGCAGAAAGTGTCCTTTTAAAGCTAAAGAAAACTGTAATTTAAAGCAACATATAATTATGCATCATTTGGATGAACGCGATATTATGTGGTATGAATGCAAAGAGTGTTCCTATAGAGCTAAACTAAAAGATAGGTTAAACCGTCACATGAAGTCGTACCATGTGGACGAGAAAGATATTAAATGGCATGAATGTAAAAAGTGCCCATATAAAGCTAAACTAAAGTCGAATTTAGACAAGCATGTCACTGCGAGGCATGCAGATATAAAAGATATTACATGGTATGAATGCAAAAAGTGCCCGTACAAAGCTAAACTTGGACGAGATTTAAAACGTCACGTAAATTTGCGTCATTTAGATGGAGAAAATAGTAAATGGTATGAGTGCAAAGAATGTTCCTACAAGCATAAACTGAAGTGGTATTTGAAGAGACACGAAAAACAAAAACACCGAATTTAGAATATTTATGTACTTTGTCGGTTTATTTTATCGTAAGTAAAATTGTTCTTGGAAATATATTTCTGTATTATTTTTATTTATTTTTTGTTGTCTTTCCAGCATTACCGAAAAACCTGAACGACAAACAAAGTCATTTAATAGATTCTCTATTAACTAACCTTGAACGACAAATGCAAAAATGACATAACCTCAAACGTTTAAGTGGGATTTATAAACTTGCTGTTGACGTTGAAGTTCCCGCTAACGTTGCTTTAGACATGTTTTAAGTTTCTTCTTGTCGAAATAAGTCTACACACATTAAGAAAAAAAAGGCAAAATGTAGCCCCGCCCACCCGCCCCATCTCAATTGTGATGATTTTTCTTTATTCGTTGTGAGCCAAGGGGGCGGAGCTTAATTGCAAAATCCTTATTTCTAAACGAGAAATTAAAAACATGTCTTGAGTGTTGTGTTCTTCAAAGAATGCTATGTATATAAAGAAAAAAATAAAGCCAAAAATTAGACCCCACCCATACCTGCCCTGATTTAAATAGTAATGAAGTTTTCATTCGTTGCCAGACCAAGAGGCGGAGCCTAAATGCAAAAATTTACCATTTTAAACGTGTTTTAAGTTTCTATGAATAAAAAAAATCATTACAATCGAGATAGGGTGGGTGGGCGGGCTTACATTTTGCTTTTTTGTTTTAATATGTGTGGACTTCTTTTCGCACCATGAAACTTACGGATATGTTCAAAATGGAAAATTTGTATAAGGAAATATCGATTTTGCAATTAGGCTCCACCCCATAAATCCAAAATCCATATTTCCTTGCAAAAATGTACCATTTTAATCATGTTTTAAGTGTATTGTTGTAAAAAATGGCTATGTATATTAAGAAAAAAAAAGTCAAAATATAAGCCCGCCCGCCCGCCCTATCTCATTTCTGATGATTTTTTTTATTCATCGTAAGCCGAGGGGCGGAGCTTAATTGTAAAACCCTTATTTTTCTATGAGAAATTACCATGTGATATATATTCTTAAGTAGGTAATCGTGTTATACAAAGAAAACTAAATGTGTTATTAATTAAAAAAGAAAACAAAAAGAAAAGCCCCATCCATCGGTTTGGATCTCAATCGTGATGAATGTTTCATTCGTTGTCAGACCGAGGGGCGGAGCGTAATTAGAAAATCTATATTTCCCTTTACAAATTTACCATTTTAAATATGTTTTAAGTTTCTTGTTGTCGAAATAAGTCTACACACATTAAGAAAAAAAAAGCAAAATGTAGCCCCGCCCACCTGCCCCATCTCAATTGTGATGATTTTACTTTATTCGTTGTGAGTCAAGGGGGCGGAGCTTAATTGCAAAATTCTTATTTCTAAACGAGAAATTAAAAACATGTTTTGAGTGTTGTGTTCTTTAAAGAATGCTATGTGTATAAAGAAAAAAATAAAGCCAAAAATTAGACCCCACCCATACCTGCCCTGATTTAAATAGTATTGAAGTTTTCATTCGTTGCCAGACCAAGAGACGGAGCCTAATTGCAAAAATTTACCATTTTAAACGTGTTTTAAGTTTCTATGAATAAAAAAAATCATTAGAATCGAGATAGGGTGGGTGGGTGGGTGGGCTTACATTTTGCTTTTTTGTTTTAATATGTGTGGACTTCTTTTCGCACCATGAAACTTAAGGATATGTTCAAAATGGAAAATTTGTATAAGGAAATATCGATTTTGCAATTAGGCTCCACCCCATAAATCCAAAATCCATATTTCCTAGCAAAAATGTACCATTTTAATCATGTTTTAAGTTTATTGTTGTAAAAAATGGCTATGTATATTAAGAAAAAAAAGTCAAAATATAAGCCCTCCCGCCCGCCCAATCACATTTCTGATGATTTTTTTTATTCGTCGTAAGCCGAGGGGCGGAGCTTAATTGTAAACTTCTTATTTTTATATGAGAAATTACCATGTGAAATATATATGTTCTTAAGTACACGTGTTATACAAAAAATGTATTAAATAAAAAAGACAATCAAAAGAGAAGCCCCACCTCTCAATCTCAATCGTGATGAATTTTTCATTCGTTGTCAGGCCGAGCGTATTTGCAAAATCGATATTTCTCTTCCCTATACAAATTTACCGTTTCAAACATGGTTTAAATTTCTTGTTGTGGAAAGATGACTACACATGTTAAGAAAAAAAGGCAAAATGTAGCCCCGCCCTATCTCAATTGTGATGATTTTTTTAATTCGTCGTGAGCCAAGGGGGCGGAGCTTAATTGCAAAATCCTTATTTCTCTACAAGAAATAAAAAACATGTTTTTGAGTATCGTATTCTTCAAAAAATACCATGTATATTGAACAAAAAACAAGCCAAAAATTAAACCCCCCAAGCTCAATTGTGATGAATTTTTCATTCGTTGTCAGACCGACGGGGGGAGCCTAATTGCAAAATTGATACTTTCCTACAAAAATTTAGCATTTTAAACATGTTTTAAGTTTCTGTGAATAAAAAAAATCATTACAATCGAGATAGGGTGGGTGGGCGGGGTTTATATTGTACCTTTTTTTCTTAATGTACATACTAACTATTTTTTGAACAACACGATACTCAAAAACATATTTTAATTTCTTGTAAAGAAATAAGTATTTTGAAGTTAAACTCTGCCGCCTTGATTCATGGCGAATAAAAAAAATCATCACAATTTAGATAGGGCGGGTGGGTGGGCTTACATATTGCTTTTCTGTTTTAATATGTGTGGACTTCTTTTCGCACCGTGAAACTTAAGATATGTTCAAAATGGAAAATTTGTATAAGGAAATATCGATTTTGCAATTAGGCTCCACCCCATAAATCCAAAATCCATATTTCCTAGCAAAAATGTACCATTTTAATCATGTTTTAAGTTTATTGTTGTAAAAAATGGCTATGTGTATTACGAAAAAAAAAGTCAAAATATAAGCCCTCCCGCCCGCCTTATCTCATTTCTGATGATTTTTTTTATTCGTCGTAAGCCGAGGGGCGGAGCTTAATTGTAAACTTCTTATTTTTATATGAGAAATTACCATGTGAAATATATATGTTCTTAAGTACACGTGTTATACAAAAAAAACTAAATGTATTAATTAAAAAAGAAAATCAAAAGAGAAGCCCCACCTCTCGATCTCAATCGTGATGAATTTTTCATTCGTTGTCAGGCCGAGGGGCGGAGCGTAATTGCAAAATCGATATTTCCCTTCCCTATACAAATTTACAGTTTCAAACGTTGTTTAAATTTCTTGTTGTGGAAAGATGACTACACATGTTAAAAAAAGGCAAATGTAGCCCCGCCATATCTCAATTGTGATGATTTTTTTAATTCGTCGTGAAACAAGGAGGCGGAGCTTAATTGCAAAATCCTTATTTCTCTACAAGAAATAAAAAACATGTTTTTTAGTATCGTACTCTTCAAAAAATACCATGTATATTGAGCAAAAAACAAGCCAAAAATTAAACCCCACCTATGTCCATCCCAAGCTCAATTGTGATAAATTTTTCATTCGTTGTCAGACCGACGGGCGGAGCCTAATTGCAAAATTGATACTTTCCTACAAAAATTTAGCATTTTAAACATGTTTTAAGTTTCTATGAATAAAAAAAATCATTACAATCGAGATAGGGTGGGTGGGTGGGGTTTATATTGTACCTTTTTTTCTTAATATACATACTATTCTTTGAACAACACGATACTCAAAAACATGTTTTTTATTTCTTGTAAAGAATTAAGTATTTTGCAGATAAACTCTGCTGTCTTGATTCATGGCGAATAAAAAAAAATCATCACAATTTAGATAGGGCGGGTGGGCGGGCTTACATATTGCTTTTCTGTTTTAATATGTGTGGACTTCTTTTCGCACCATGAAACTTAAGATATGTTCAAAATGGAAAATTTGTATAAGGGAATATCGATTTTGCAATTAAGCTCCCCCCATAATTGCAAAATCTACATTTCTTTGCAAAAATGTACCATTTTAACCATGTTTAAAGTTTTTTGTTGTGAAAAGATGGCTATGTGTATTAAGAAAAAAAAAGACAAAATATAAACCCCACCCACCCGACCTGTCTCAATTCTGATGATTTTTTTTTATTCGTCGTAAGCCGAGGGGCGGAGCTTAATTGTAAACTTCTTATTTTTATTTGAGAAATTACCATGTGAAATATGTATGTTCTTAAGTACACGTGTTATACAAAAAAACTAAATGTATTAATTAAAAAAGAAAACCAAAAGAGAAGCCCCACCCATCCCTCTCGAACTCAATCGTGATGAATTTTTCATTCGTTGTCAGGCCGAGGGGCGGAGCCTAATTGCAAAATTGATACTTTCCTACAAAAATTTAGCATTTTAAACATGTTTTAAGTTTCTATGAATAAAAAAAATCATTACAATCGAGATAGGGTGGGTGGGCGGGGTTTATATTGTACCTTTTTTTCTTAATGTACATACTATTCTTTGAACAACACGATACTCAAAAACATGTTTTTAATTTCTTGTAAAGAAATAAGTATTTTGCAGATAAACTCTGCCGCCTTGATTCATGGCGAATAAAAAAAATCATCACAATTTAGATTGGGCGGGTGGGCGGGCTTACATTTTGCTTTTTTGTTTTAATATGTGTGGACTTCTTTTCGCACCATGAAACTTAAGATATGTTCAAAATGGAACATTTGTATAAGGAAATATCGATCTTGCAATTAGGCTCCACCCCATAAATCCAAAATCCATATTTCCTTGCAAAAATGTACCATTTTAATCATGTTTTAAGTTTATTGTTTTAAAAAATGGCTATGTGTATTAAGAAAAAAAAAGTCAAGATATAAGCCCTCCCGCCCACCCTATCTCATTTCTGATGATTTTTTTTATTCATCGTAAGCCGAGGGGCGGAGATTCATTGTAAAACCCTTATTTCTCTATGAGAAATTACATGTGAAATATATATGTTCTTAAGTACACGTGTTATACAAAAAAACTAAATGTATTAATTAAAAAAGAAAATCAAAAGAGAAGCCCCACCCCTCCCTCTCGATCTCAATCGTGATGAATTTTTCATTCGTTGTCAGGCCGAGGGGCGGAGCGTAATTGCAAAATCGATATTTCCCTTCCCTATACAAATTTACCGTTTCAAACGTAGTTTAAATTTCTTGTTGTGGAAAGATGACTACACATGTTGAGAAAAAAAGGCAAACGTAGCCCCGCCCTATCTCAATTGTGATGATTTTTTTAATTCGTCGTGAGCCAAGGGGGCGGAGCGTAATTGCAAAATCCTTATTTCTCTACAAGAAATAAAAAACATGTTTTTTAGTATCGTACTCTTCAAAAAATACCATGTATATTGAGCAAAAAAACAAGCCAAAAATTAAACCCCACCTATGTCCATCCCAAACTCAATTGTGATAAATTTTTCATTCGTTGTCAGACCGACGGGCGGAGCCTAATTGCAAAATTGATACTTTCCTACAAAAATTTAGCATTTTAAACATGTTTTAAGTTTCTATGAATAAAAAAAATCATTACAATCGAGATAGGGTGGGTGGGCGGGGTTTATATTGTACCTTTTTTTCTTGATATACATACTATTCTTTGAACAACACGATACACAAAAACATATTTTAATTTCTTGTAAAGAAATAAGTATTTTGCAGATAAACTCTGCCGCCTTGATTCATGGCGAATAAAAAAAATCATCACAATTTAGATTGGGCGGGTGGGCGGGCTTACATTTTGCTTTTTTGTTTTAATATGTGTGGACTTCTTTTCGCACCATGAAACTTAAGATATGTTCAAAATGGAACATTTGTATAAGGAAATATCGATCTTGCAATTAGGCTCCACCCCATAAATCCAAAATCCATATTTCCTTGCAAAAATGTACCATTTTAATAATAAGACAAAATATAAGCCCCACCCACCCGCCCTGTCTCAATTGTGATGATTTTTTTTATTCATCGTAAGCCGAAGGGCGGATCTTAATTGTAAAATCCTTATTTCTCTACGAGAAATTAACAACAAGTTTTTAAGTATCGTGCTGTTCAAAGAATACTATGTATACTAAGAAAGTCAAAAATTAAGCCCCGCCCATACCTGCCCTGATCTAAATAATAATGAAGTCTTCATTTGTTGTCAGACCTAGGGGCGGAGCCTAATTGCAAAATCCGTATCTCCCCACAAAAATTTACCATTTTAAACTTGTTTTGAGTTTCTAAGAATAAAAAAAAGCATTACAATTGAGATGGGGTGGGTGGGCGGGGTCTATATTTTGACTTTTTTTCTTAATATGCGTAGTATTCTTTCAACAACACGATACTCAAAAACATGTTTTTATTTTCTTGTATAGAAATAAGTACTTTGCAGTTACGCTCCGCCCCTTTGGTTCACGGCGAATAAAAATATTCTCACAATTGAAATTGGGTGGGCGGGCGGGGTTAATAGTTTGCCTTTTTGTTTTAATATGTGTAGACTTCTTTTCACAACAAGAAACTTAAAACATATTTAAAATGTAAAATTTGTATAATTCCTTGCAAAAATGTCCCATTTTAACCATGTTCTAAGTTTTTTGTTGTGAAAAAATGGCTTTGTACATTAAACCCTAACCCTATCTCAATTCTGATGATTTTTTTATTCGTCGTGAGCCGAGGGGCGGAGCTTAATTGTAAAATCCTTATTTCTTACTTAAGGAATAAAAAACATGCTTTTGGGTATTAAGCCCCACCCATATCCATCCCAAGCTCATTTGTGATGAATTTTTCATTCGTGGTCAGACCGAAGGGCGGAGCCTAATTGCAAAATCGATACGTTCCTACAAAAATTTAGCATTTCCGCAGTGTGATTGGTTAATCTTACGTTAGCGGCAGGTTTGTAAATCGACCTTAAGAGAACGCGTTTATAGGAAAAAATTAATAGTTTAAATTTAGAGAATTTAAAAATTAAGGTTTTGATGAAAAACTGTTAAAACTGGGCGGTTTATTTAGAAATTTTAATTTTTGTTCGACTGTACTTTAGGAGAGAAATAATGTTCGACCAATTTTTTGAGCATTTATTTTTTTCTTCACGAAGTTCATATAGAGAAAATTTAGAGCAGTTTTGAGGATTTTTGTTTTTTTTTTGTGAATTTATCGATGTATTAGGATGCCATATTTTGCTGAAAAATTGTGGCAAAAATTAATTTAATTTTTGTGTCAAAAGAGCTGTTAACACAATTATTTGCCAGTACATATCTAATTACTTTATGTTAAAATTTTGGCTAGCAAGTCTGATATTTTGTTTAGCTTTTGTTAATGTACAGAAGAATTAAATACAAAATTTTATTGCAAATTTAAAAAAAATTGGTTCGATTGGTAGTTGAATAAAAAGTCTCCTTTGATTTTAAAATATTTATTGTTTTCAGTTTAGTTGCTTTTAAAACTTCAAGAAGTTGAGTGTTCAGCTAAATGTTTCGGGTTTTCTCCCATTCTTGCTACCAACTAAAACTAGTACTAGTATTAGCTGCAACACCCTGACTAGTAATACACATGCCACTGTTTTCTTTTGGCTTTTCTCTTTTCTAGATTTTCATTTATCCTGAGATCCCGTTACCTGAAAGACAAATAAAAATATAAATGGTCAATATTTTTTTTAATACGAAACGTTAATAACAAAAATTCCATTCTGCCAAATTTGCCACTCCAGTCCTGTTTTCACCAAATGATCGAAAAAGTCGCCTAGCAGGCCATGAAATTTATTTTTAAAATAATCATGTTGGTATTACAACTATTTGACACTTATTTGACATAACTAATGAACGATAATTGCTTAAATCACTCACCCTTATTAGGCGTCTTTTTCATCCAAATGTCGCGTCGTACTAATATGTATATTTAACGATCTTTTAAGCTTAGTTTTATATGGGCACTTTTTGCATCCATACCATTTAATATCTTTCTCGTCCAAATGTAGCGTGCTCATGTGATTTTTCAAATAGTGCTTTGTTTTAGCTTTGTATGGGCAACTTTTACATTTGTACCATTTCACGTCCTCATTATCCAAATGATGGGCATTCATATGGTACTTCAAACTCCCCTTTTGTTTAGCTTTGTATGGACACTTGTCGCACTTGTACCATTTAATATCTTTCTCGTCCAAATGGTGCGCAATAACGTGCCCATCCAACGTCGACTTGTATTTAGTTTTGTATGGACAATGTTGGCACTCGTGCCATTTAATATCCTGTTTGTCTGAATGGTGCGCATTTATGTGTTTTTGTAACGTGGTGTTGCTTTTAGCTTTATATGGGCACGTTTTGCACTCATACCATTTAATATCCTGTTCGTCTAAATGGCACGCAATTATGTGTTGTCTTAAATAGCGATTTCTTTTAGACTTATATGAACATTTGTTGCAGTGGTACCATTTAATATCGTGCTCGTCCAAATGGCGAGCGTTCACGTGACTGTTTAAATGAGACACATATTTACTTTTATATGAACACTTGTCACAGTGATACCAACATATTTCTTCGTGACTCGAGTGCGTGAAGATTTTGTGTTTTTCTAAAGACGTTTTGTATTTGTACTTGCGTCCACACTGGTCACATCTATACTGGAAATGTTTAGGGTCAGTGTCCTTCACATACTTCAGCGAGGGAAGATTTGCTTCACTGTGCAAACATGCTGATGTATGTTGAAGCCACTTTATCACAAAATGTGTTTCAAAAGAACACTTGTCGCAAATATAATGTTTTATGTTATAGTCCTCACTTGATACCTTTTTTGGGAGTTCTTTTTCGAGACCATGATGTCTGTCAATGTGCTGTTTAAAATAGAGCGTCAATTCCGTGCTGAAATTGCAATCTTTGCAACTGTACATTTCCAGGTGGGAATTTTCGCAGTTAAATTGTTGTAGCGAGGAACTGTGGCGCCTGAGGTGATTCGTCATGAGGAAAAACGATGTGGTGAAAAATGGACAAACTTTGCAGTCGTGGACGTTCTTAAAGGGTGCTTTCACGTCGGTGAACTCAGAGTACTCCAACATCGATATTTTGGCCACTTGTCTCTACGTATAAGATATTCTGGCTTAATTAAACCCAGAATTCCAAAATCGATGTTTTACCCATCCTAAATTAAAGGATTTTTGAATTGTATTACTCGCTCAAGGTTTGTATCTTGTCTTACCTTCAATTTTGCGTAAAATGCTTTATGGTTTCACAAATTATTTAAATTACTTTCAATTTTATTTTAAAAAAATACGAAAACAATATAACACATAACCTCAAAAATGTACACGACTCCCTGGGCATGTAGGCAACCCAAAATACACGTCACTGTTCAAAAATTCAATACTGGCAGCCATAGAACATCGCAGAAATGTCACTACAGAAAAATTAAAAAATATTTTATTGATTCAATATTAACACCAAAACCGAAGCAATTTCAATTATGTTTATTATTTACATGTTGCTTCAACTTAGAATTCTGTTTAGCTTGATAAGGGCACTTTTCGCACTGATACCATTTAATAAATTAATAAAAAAGACAGTTGGCACACCCGAGAAGGTTTTGCGTTTTTTAAAAAGACAGTTTTGGGACCCCTGAGAAGGTTTAACATAAAAAAAAGACATTTGGGAGCCCCGAGAAGGTTTTACATTTTTAAAAAAACATTTGATACCCCCGAGAAGGTTTTACATTTTTGAAAAAGACATTTGGGACCCCGAGAAGATTTCACATTCTTAAAAAAGACATTTGAGACCCCCGAGAAGGTTTTACATTTTTGAAAAAGTCAGTTGGGACCCCCGAGAAGGTTTTACATTTTTGAAAAAGACATTTGGGACCCCGAGAAGCTTTCACATTCTTAAAAAAGACATTTGGGGGCCCCGAGAAGGTTTTACATTTTTAAAAAAGACAGTTGGGGCCCTCGAGAAGATTTCACATTTAAAAAAAATACATCTGGGGTTCCCGAGAAGGTTTTACAATTTTAAAAATAACAGTTGGGACCCCCAAGATGGTTTCGCCTTCTTTAAAAAAGGACAGTTGGGACCCCTGAGAAGCTTTCACAATCTTAAAAAAGAGGTTTTGCATTTTTAAAAAGGACATTTGGGACCCCCGAGAGGGTTTTACATTTTTGAAAAAGTCAGTTGGGAACCTCGAGAAGGTTTCACATTTTTAAAAAAAGACAGTTGGGACCCTCGAGAAGGTTTAACATAAAAAAAAGAGTTTTGGAGCACCGAGAAGGTTTTACATTTTAAAAAAAGACATTTGGGATCCCCGAGAAGGTTTTACATTTTTGAAAAAGTCAGTTGGGACCCTCGACAAGGTTTCACATCTTTAAAAAATGACAGTTGGGAACCCTGAGAAGGTTTTACATTTTTGAAAAAGACAGTGGGACGGATCCCCGAGAAAGTTTTACATTTTTAAAAAAGACACTTGGGACCTCCGAGAAGATTTCACATTCTTAAAAAAGACAGTTGGGACCCACGAGAAGGTTTTACATTTTCATAAAAGATAGTGGGGACCCCCGAGAAGGTTTTACATTAAAAAAAAAATAGTTGGGACCCCCGAGAAGCTTTCATATTCTTAAAACAGACATTTGGGGGCCCCGAGAAGGTTTTTTATTTTAGAAAAAGACAGTGAGACCCCCCGAGAAGGTTTAACATTAAAAAAAGACATTTGGAGCCCCCGAGAAAGTTCTAGATTTTTAAAAAAGACATTTGGGACCCCCGAGAAGGTTTCAAATTTTTAAAAAAAGACAGTTGGGACTCTCGAGAAGGTTTCACATTCTTAAAAAAGACAGTTGGGATCCCCGTGAAGGTTTTAAATTTTTAAAAAAGACATTTGGGACTCCCGAGAAGGTTTTACATTTTTGAAAAATTCAGTTGGGACCCCCGAGAAGGTTTTACATTTTGAAAAAGACATTTGGGACCCCGCGAAGATTTCACATTCTTAAAAAAAACAGTTGGGACCCTCGAGAAGGTTTAACATAAAAAAAATACATTTGGAGCCCCCGAAAAAGTTTTACATTTTTAAAAAAGACATTTGGGAGCCCCGAGAAGGTTTTACATTTTTGAAAAAGACAGTGGGAGGGACCCCCGAGAAAGTTTTACATTTTTAAAAAAGACACTTGGGACCTCCGAGAAGATTTCACATTCTTAAAAAAGACAGTTGGGACCCACGAGAAGGTTTTACATTTTTATAAAAGATAGTGGGGACCCTCGAGAAAGTTTTACATTTTTAAAAAGGACAGTTGGAACTCCCGAGAAGATTTCACATTCTTGAAAAAGACAGTTGCGACCCACGAAAAGGTTTTACATTTTTAAAAAAGATAGTGTGGACCCCCGAGAAGGTTTTACATTTTTAAAAAAGATAGTTGGGACCTCCGAGAAGCTTTCACTTTCTTAAAAAAGACATTTGGGGGCCCCGAGAAGGTTGTTTATTTTTGAAAAAGACAGTGAGACCCCCGAGAAGGTTTAACATTAAAAAAAAGACATTTGGAGCCCCCGAGAAGGTTTTACAATTTTAGAAATGACAGTTGGGACCCCCGAGATGGTTTCGCCTTCTTTAAAAAAGGACAGTTGGGACCCCTGAGAAGCTTTCACAATCTTAAAAAAGACATTTGGGAGCCCCGAGAAGGTTTTACATTTTTAAAAAAGTCAGTTGGGACCCCCGAGAAGGTTTTACATTTTTGAAAAAGACATTTGGGACCCCGAGAAGAATTCACATACTTAAAAAAAACAGTTGGGACCCACGAGAAGGTTTTACATTTTTAAAAAAGATAATTGGGACCCCCGAGAAGGGTTTATATTTTTAAAAAAGATAGTTGGGACCCCCGAGAAGCTTTCACATTCTTAAAAAAGAAATTTGGGGGCCCTGAGAAGGTTTTACATTTTTAAAATAGGCAGTTGGGACCCACGAGAAGGTTTCACATTCTTAAAAAAGACATTTGGGGGCCCCGAGAAAGTTTTACATTTTTGAAAAAAGTCAGTTGGGACCCTCGAGAAGGTTTCACATCTTTAAAAAAAGACAGTTGGGACCCTCGAGAAGGTTTAACATAAAAAAAATACATTTGGAGCCCCCGAGAAGGTTTTACATTTTTAAAAAAGACATTTGGGACCCCCGAGAAGGTTTAACATAAAAAAAAATACATTTGGAGCCCCCGAGAAGGTTTTACATTTTTAAAAAAGACATTTGGGAGCCCCGAGAAGGTTTAACATAAAAAAAAATACATTTGGAGCCCCCGAGAAGGTTTTACATTTTTATAAAAGACAATTGGAACTCCCGAGAAGATTTCACATTCTTAAAAAAGACAGTTGGGACCCACGAAAAGGTTTTACATTTTTAAAAAAGATAGTGGGGACCCCCGAGAAGATTTTACATTTTTAAAAAAGATAGTTGGGACCCCCGAGAAGCTTTCACTTTCTTAAAAAAGACATTTGGGGGCCCCGAGAAGGTAGTTTATTTTTGAAAAAGACAGTGAGACCCCCGAGAAGGTTTAACATTAAAAAAAAGACATTTGGAGCCCCCGAGAATGTTTTAGATTTAAAAAAAAAAGACAGTTGGGACCCTCGAGAAAGTTTCACATTCATAAAAAAGACAGTTGGGATCCCCGTGAAGGTTTTACATTTTTAAAAAAGACAGTTGTGACACCCGAGAAGATTTCACATTTAAAAAAAATACATTTGGGGTTCCCGAGAAGGTTTTACAATTTTAAAAATGACATTTGGGAACCCCGAGATGGTTTCACCTTCTTTAAAAAAGGACAGTTAGGACCCCTGAGAAGCTTTCACAATCTTAAAAAAGACATTTGGGGGCCCCGAGACGGTTTTACAATTTTAAAAAAGACATTTGGGACCCCCGAGAAGGTTTTACACTTTTGAAAAAGTCAGTTGGGGCCCTCGAGAAGGTTTCACATTCTTAAAAAAGACAGTTAGGATCCCCGAGGTTTTACATTTTTACAAAAGACAGCTGGGACCCCCGAGAAGCTTTCACATTCTTAAAAAGACATTTGGGGGCCCCGAGAAGGTTTTACATTTTTGAAAAAGACATTTGACACCCCTGAGAAGGTTTTGTATTTTTAAAAAGACAGTTTTGGGCCCCCCGAGAAGATTTCACATTAAAAAAAAAATACATTTGGGGTTCCCGAGAAGGTTTTACAATTTTAAAAATGACAGTTGGGACTCTCGAGATGGTTTCGCCTTCTTTAAAAAAGGACAGTTGGGACCCCTGAGAAGATTTCACATTAAAAAAAAATGGTCAAAACTTACTTCGACAGAACTTCCCTCGGCCTTGAAGTATAGTTGCGGCCCCCCAAAAGTGCACGATTTTTCGTTGTCATGGAATTTTTTGAATTTTTAAATTAATGTAAATATGGCTGTTACCAGTGGCGCAGCATTTCTGAATAAACAAAATGTCAAATTTGTCAAATTTTGTTATTCGAGCGTCCATGATTTGAAGATACATTTACAATAGAGAAAATTATCGTGCACTTTTGGGGGGCCGCAACTGTACAGTTCAGCGAATTTCGTTTCTTTGAACAAATATGAAAAATGTTTGTTTTCTGATAACCATTATACAAGGTCTCTAGAATGCATGGAAACGGTTAAATATCTTGAGAACCAGTTGTACAAATCAATTGAAAATAGGTATAAGGGTACAAGAAGTTGTGCTCTAATTATTCGTCACACAAACACATCAAATAAAGTGGTAACAGCTCTGCAGGCAGCACGACCCCGCAGGTACAACTGATTTTGGTAAATTCTAACCCGACCTGTTTTTGCGTTAATTTTAAGACCCCTTTTTTGGAAAATTAAAACAATCTTGAGGTTATAGGTATTCCTGTTTGGAAAGAATTTGAAACTGCTTTGGAGCCCCTAGTGTCTTTTCTTATAATAATTCGGTCTTATTTTAGATGGTATACTAGTGACTACTGACACTGCTAAATCAAAGTAATCACGTATTAAACAATCATTTTAAATTCAATTAGTATCAAGTGGTACACCGTATTAGTATTTTGGGTTGCGTAAAAATAATTTTCAGAAGTAATTTTCTCGTGACTAACCCTGTATTTGTACTGTGGTACAAGCGTCCCGTGGATGTAGGCAGCCCACAATACACCAGTCATAAATAAGGAAGTTTTTTTCAAACTTCTGTAATTTAAATTTTAATTCCACTCATGAAACGCTGTTTTTTTAATTGAATTTACATTTGTAGTTGGTCCAGTTTTAACTACTGTGAATCTCTCACAAGAAAAAGTTCGTTCGGAAATGGTTTATGTTCAACATTTTGAGGTTAGAATGAATATTATATAAGAAAATGCACGATATCCCCCTTACTTCAGTGGGATGGTAATGAATAAGTGTAGCCAAAGCAAAAATGGCTATTCTGGAATATTCGGAGGAGTGTGCACCCCTGAAAACGCCCCCAAGAAACGTCCAATGGTGTAAAATTTGTCCCTATTTTACAACGTCAGTATTTTTCATGGTAAACCACGTCCGACGCCACAGTTCAGCCGGTTTCAACTGTGAAAGGACCACAGTTGAACTCTACTTCTGTAGAGACTGTAATTTCAAAACAGACCTCACAATCCTCTTCAACCATCACCTCCAAAAACACCATGGCGTTGAAACCAAATATGGTAATTTTACAGTCCAAAACTATATTTGTGACAAGTGCAACTTTGAAACCCATTCCGTCATTAAAAGCCTTCACCATACCTCACAATGTTCGCAAAACAAAGTTTCCAAAGCCCCTAAATCCAGCCTAGACGAAATTACCGTTGCCAAGTGGTACAAGTGTGACCAATGCACCTTCAAGAGCAAATACAAATTTAGTCTAAAACAACACCAAAGCGCCAGGCACCTACCGGACGAAGACTCGCGTCAATACCACTGCACACGCTGTTCATACAGAGGTAAACGAAAAAATAACTTGCAACGTCACATAGAAGCGTGTCACTTGCAAGAAAAAGAAACCAAGTGGTTCAAATGCAAGAAATGCCCATTCAAGACTAGACAGAATTCCAATTTGAAAAACCACATTAACGCTCGACACTTAGATGAACACAACGTGGTGTGGTACGAGTGCAAGAAGTGTCCATACAAAGCCAAACACACCTCGAATTTGAAACGTCACGTGAACGCACGCCATTCAGACGAGAAGGACATTAAATGGTATCATTGCCAGAAGTGTTCGTATAAAGCTAAGGCCAACGGGGCGTTAAAAACACACATGAAAGGGCGACATTTGTCTGAAGAGGACGTGACGTGGTTTGAATGCAAGAACTGTCCGTATAGGACTAAGTTTAATTATAGCTTGAAGAAGCACATAAATGGGTGTCATTTGTATGAGGAGGATGTTAAGTGGTATGAGTGCAAACAGTGTCCATATAAAACTAAATATAATTCGGCTTTAAATAAACACGTGAACTCGCAGCATTTGAAACAGAGGGGTGTTAAAATGTATGATTGTAAGATGTGTGCATATAGGGCTAAGCAGTTGTCGTCTTTGACTAGACATTTAAATGAGTACCATGTGGAAAAGTTAGTCATTTGAAAATTGTATACAAAAGTGTAATTTATTATTAAATAGATGCTCCCTTTTTGTTAAGAATTTTATTTAATTTAGAAAATTCACATTTGAAGCTTAAATTTGGATGGGGACCAGTGGATATAACCATAGATTAATAGAGAAGCGTCATAGTTTAAATTAAATGACGGTTGAGGACTCCTCGACTTATGTTGGCAACAGTGTTTATTTCTAACTAGGAATAAAATTAACTACAAATTATACTATAAGCTTTCAGTAGCGATTTGGTTGGTTTGGACTATAATTTCTGCGGGAAATAGTTGTTTGGTCGGTTTTTATAACGACTAAGTGAATAATTTTGGTACATATTTAGATGATTTTACATATTTTGTTTAACTAAGAATTAATTCTTTATTCGTATTTTATACTAGCAAAACGTCTTATTAAACTAAGAATATTGTTGAAATCGTAATAACCTAATAACCCTATGGATTTTTTCGGGAAAATGTTTTGGAAACACTGTTCTATTTTGTATGAATTTTTAAATGTTTTTAGTGACAATTTTTGTGGTTGTTTTAGATACACTGTATGACATCAAAAGTGAGAAAAAAAATGAAAAAGTTAAAAATTCAACAATTTATAAATTGAGAAATTGACAATCAAAATATTGAAAAATTCAAATCTCGAGAAATCAAAAAACGTAAAAATTCGAAAAATTGAGAGATTGAAAGATCAAAAGAACGAGAAATCGGAAAGTGATGAAGTGGAAAAATCGAAAAATAGAGAAATCGACAAACAAAAAGTTAAAAGTTGAATAATTGGAAAAGCGGAAAAATCAAAAAACGAAAAAATGGAAAACTGGAAAAACTGAGAAACCGAAATAGGCCAAAATAAAAATTGAAAAACTGATAAATCGAAAACCTGAACAATCAAATTTCGATAAATCGGGAATGAAAAATTAACAAATCGAAAAATTGAAAAACAGAACATCTAAAACCAGGAAGTCGAAAAATCGAAAGATTATGAAATATTGAAAAATTAAAATATCAAAGGATTGGAAAATCTAAAATTTAAAAATCCAAAAATTGAAAAATCTAAAAAGTAAAAAGGTAGACACATCGAAAAATCCAGAAGTCAAAAATAAAAGAGCCGAAGAATTGAAATATTGAAAAATCCCAAAACAGAAATATCTAAAAACTGAAAATCGAAAAACCAAAAAAGTGAAGTCGAAAAATAGAAATCTTAAAAAATCGAAAAATTGAAAAATCAAAAACCTGAAAAATCAAAAAATTAAAGAATGGAAGCACAGGAAAATCGAAACACTCGAAGGTCAAGAAATGGGAAAATCAAAACATCGATTAACTGAAAAATCGAAAAATTGAAAGTTTATGAAAGTCAAATTTGAAAAATTAAAAAATCGAAAATTTGACAAAAGGACAATTGAAAAATAGAAAATCTAAAACCGGGAAGTCGAAAAATCTAAAATTTAAAAAATTAAAAAATCTAAAATTGAAAAATCGAAAAAGTAAAATAATCGACACATCGAAAAATCCAGGAGTCAAAAATTGAAAAATCGAAGCACCGAAACATTGAAAAATCCCAAAACTGAGATATCGAAAAACTAAAAAATGAAAGAAAAAGTGAGAAATGGAAAATCTGAAAAATCCGAAAACTAAAATACCCAAAAACTGAGAACCTAAAAAGTAGAAAAATTAAGCAATCGAAAAATCCAGAAAGTGAAGCGAAAAATCGAAACCTTAAAAAAACTAAAAAATGAAAAATCGAAAAATTAAAGGATTGAAGAACAGCAATATCGAAACCCTCGAAACTCAAGAAATGGGAAAATCAAAACATCGATTAATTGAAAAACCGAAAAATTAACAGTTTAAATGTCAAATTTGAAAAACTGAAAAATCGAAAATTTGAAAAAACGACAATTGAAAAACAGAAAATCTAAAACCGAGAAGTCGAAAAATCAAAAGATTAAGAAATCGAAACACTTGAAAAATTCGAAAACTTGCAAAATTCAAATATCGAAGAACTGAACAAAGAAGAAAAAAATCGAGAAATCGAAAAATCTAAAATTTAAAAAATTAAAAAATCCAGGAGTCAAAAATCGAAACATTGAAAAATCCCAAAACTGAGATATCGAAAAACTGAAAAATGAAAGACAAACTGAAAAATCCGAAAACTGAAATATCGTTTTGGAAACACTGTGTTTTATTTTGAACGAATTTTTTTTTAATGTTTTTAGTGACAATTTTTGTGGTTGTTTTCGATACACTGATGATATTAACAGTGAGAAAAAAGATAAACAATTAAAATAATGGAAAATTTGAAAAATCGAGAAATCTAATAATCGAAAAATCGAAACTTGAAAAATCGAAATATCGAAGAACTGAAAAACGAAAAAATGTAAAATTTAAAAATCGAATAACGAAAAATCGAGAAATCGAAACTCCCAAATTTAAAAAATCGGATAACTGAAAAATCGAAACATCGAAAAACTGGAAAATCGAAAACTCAAAAGATCAAAAAATCGTAGAGTCGAAAAGTCGAACAATTGAAAAACCGAAATAGGTCAAAATCGAAAAATCGAAAAGTTAAAAATTGAACAATTTATAAATTGAGAAATTGACAATCAAAATATCGAAAAATCCAAATCTCGGTAAATCGAGAAATCAAAAAACTTGATAATTCGAAAAATTGAAAAATTGAGAGAGTGAAAGATCCAAAGAACGAGAAATCGAAAAGTGATGAAGTCGAAAAATCGAAAAATAGAGAAATCGAGAAACAAAAAGTTAAAAGTTGCAAATTGGAAAAGCGGAAAAATCAAAAAACGAAAAAATGGAAAACTGGAAAAACTGGGAAACCGAAATATACCAAAACAAAAAATTGAAAAACTGGTAAATCGAAAACCTGAACAATCAAATTTCGATAAATCGGGAATGAAAAATTAACAAATCGAAAAATTGAAAAACAAACATCTAAAACCAGGAAATCGAAAAATAGAAAGATTAAGAAATATTGAAAAATTAAAACATCAAAAGATTAAAAAAATCTAAAATTTATATTTCGACTTCACTTTTTTGATTTTTCGATTTCTCAATTTTTCGATTCTTTAGGTTCTCAGTTTTTGGATTTTTCAGTTTTTCTTTCATTTTTCAGTTTTTCGATATTTCAGTTTTGAGATTTTTCAATATTTCTGTTCTTCGACTTTTCCATTTTTGACTTCTGGATTTTTCGATGTGTTGACTTCTTACTTTTTCGATTTTTAAATTTTATATTTTTCAATCTTTTGATATTTTAATTTTTCAATATTTCTTAATCTTTCGATTTTTCGACTTCCTGGTTTTAGATGTTCTGTTTTTCAATTTTTCGATTTGTTAATTTTTCATTCCCGATTTATCGAGATTTGGTTGTTCAGGTTTTCGATTTATCAGTTTTTCAATTTTTTATATTTTGGCCTATTTCGGTTTCTCAGTTTTTCCAGTTTTCCATTTTTTCGTTTTTTGATTTTACTGCTTTTCCAATTTTTCAAATTTTGCCTTTTTGTTTTAATGTGTGTAGACTTATTTTCACAACATGACATTTAAAACATGTTTAAAATGGAAAATTTTATTTTTTTATTGTAAATCCATATGTCCTTGCAAAAATGTATTAAGCTTCACCCACCCGACTTTTTCGACTTTCAATTTTTTGGTTTTTTAAATTTTCGATTTTTCAGTTTTTAGATTTTATTTTAGTTGTGTATCTCTGGATTTCCGATAGATTAAAATTTATAATATTTTGGTTTCTTTTTAAGATTTCAGGGAAAACGGAAAATCGGAAAATTTTAATTTAGTTTTAAAATACCTGAAATAAAATGAATTTTAAAGTTGTTAATACACTGCGCATGATCAGGGTTGCCAGAATTTCAAATTTTCAAAAATTCCGACACTTAAAAAAATGATCTTTTTCATTTCAGTAGCGGAAATTAGAAAATTTTCGTTTCTTTCTATAATTACAGAAAAATAGAGGAATTGAAATTTTGAAAAATTCAGAAATTGAGTTTAAAATTAGGAAAATTTTAGTTTCTTCATAAATTTCGGAAAATTCTAACTTGATTCTAAAATTCCGGAGAAAAATGAACTATAAAGTTGTTGATATTAATTTTGAAACTGCACGTGATCAGGGTTGCAAAAATTTGAAGTTTTCAAAAATTCCCAGATTTAAAAAAGGCAATTTTTTCCATTTTAGTAGCGGAAATTAGGAAATTTTAGTTTCTTTCTAAAATTACAGAAAACTACAAAATTTGAAATTTTGAAAAATCCAGTAATAAATAATATCGTGATAATTTGTTTTTCATTTTAATCAAGAAGTTTGAAATTTGGAAAATTTTAGTTTAATTTAAGATTTCGGGGAAAAATGAAACTCGGAAAATTTTAATTTGGTTTTAAAATACCTAAAAAAAAATAATTTTAAAGTTGTTAATATACATTTTGAAACTGCGCTTGATCAGGGTTGCTAGAAATTCAAATTTTAAAAAATTCCAACACTTAAAAAAACGATCTTTTTCATTTTAGTAGCGGAAATTAGAAAATTTTCGTTTCTTTCTATAATTACAGAAAAATAGAGAAATTGAAATTTTGAAAAATTCAGAAATTGAGTTTAAAATTAGGAAAATTTTAGTTTCTTCTTAAAATTCGGAGAATTCTAACTTGATTCTAAAATTCCGGAGAGAAATGAACTTTAAATTGTTGATATAAATTTTGAAACTGCACGTGGTCAGGGTTGCAAGAATTTGAAATTTTCAAAAATTCCCAGATTTAAAAAGGCATTTTTTCCATTTTGGTAGCGGAAATTAGGAAATTTTAGTTTCTTTCTAAAATTACAGAAAACTACAAAATTTGAAATTTTGAAAAATCCAGTAATAAATAATATCGTGATAATTTGTTTTTCATTTTAATCAAGGAGTTTGAAATTTAGAAAATTTTAGTTTATTTTAAGATTTCGGGGAAAAATGAAACTCGGAAAATTTTAATTTGGTTTTAAAATACCTAAAAAAAATACTTTTAAAGTTGTTAATATACATTT